TATATTTTTTTAAAAAACTCATCTGTTTTTAATGGATTTTTATCCTTTGAATTGCATTTTATCATTATCAGCTGGGTACCAAACTTTTCTTCCTTACCTAGTTCTATCTGCTTTGATCTAAACTTTAAAAAATAGACAATTCTAAGAAATCTCTATCTGTTTAAATGTCTTCAGTTTTGGTATAATAGTATAATTCCTATGAATGATCCCTTCCTCTGGAGTCATATGTGAGTGCAAAACATACATGTTTAATAATACCTATTAATTGCTTCCTTGCAAATGATGCTTAACAGATCTATGAATCAGAATTCTAATTGAATTAGAAAAGAAATGGAATTTGAATTATTCATTACCAGGCCTTGTAAAAATGAGCTTATTGGTCTAGTTATAAGGTCCTAACCAGAGGATTGCTAGGAATTCTTTCATAGCAGTTTAATGGCAGAAAAGAAATGATAATTTGACTTATTTTCTAGACCATTTGTAATGGTTTAGAAAAGATGTAAAAAAAGATGCTGCCTCAGGAGATATGGGCAGGTAAAGAGCTGATCCACTGTAGATGCCTCTGTAGATGCCTGCATGGCATTGCCTGTTCACTGTGGTTCTGTAGGTGACAAAATTGTGATGTATATATCTTGCTGTAATCTGCTTCTAAAAATGTTTAACGTACATTAAAATTTCTGAAATTGTATTTGAGTATTCATTATTCCTGTCTTTGCTGACCTCCAGATATTAACAACTTTAAAAATGAAATATTTAGTACTTAGAATTGAAACAAAAAATACAGAAGAAGGGGAGAAAGATAAAATGTACATTTTCCAATATGACAAATATACCATATGTACTCGAGTATAAGCCGATCCAAATATAAGCCAAGGCACCTAATTTTACCACACACACACACACACACACACACAACAAAAAAACTGGGAAAACATATTGACTCGAATATAAGCCAAGGGTGGAAAATGTAGCAGCTACTGGTAAATTTCAAAATAAAAATAGATGCCAATAAAATGACATTAATTCCCTCCCAATATTGAAGTCTATGATAAATGATAAAAAAATGATTAAAAAGTGGCATAGGGAGATAGGGAAATTCATATGGCAGGGGAAAAAAACACAGGATAAGCTTCAGAAATCTAACAGATGACAGAAAAAGAGGGGGGCTTGCTTTACCTAATTTCCAATTATACTATGAGGCGGCTGCCCTGGACTGGATAAGGGAATGGACAACTTTGGAGAAGAAAAAACTACTAACCCTGGAAGGGTTTGATCTAGTCCAGGGTTGGCACGGGTATCTCTGGAGGGGAAAGGCAGAAAAGGAGAGAAACTTTAAGAACCACTCTATAAGAACTGGGCTCATCCAAGTGTGGGACAGATATAAGGAAAGATTATATACAAAGACACCACTATGAACATGTAACAATAACGGTAATAATAGTGTAAAATAATGAATTCAACTAGAATGAAATAATAAATGTAATAATAACAGTAATAAATAGAGTAAAAGAATAAATGTAATAATAACAATAATAAAGAGAGTAAAATAATACTAAATAGAGTAAAATAATAGATGTAAAATAATAATAATAGAGTAAAACAATGTAAATGTAATAATAATAATAATAATAATAATAATAATAAATCAAGCAAAATAATAAAATGCAATAAAATAACAATAACAGAGTAATATAATAAATAACTTTGACTTGAGTATAAACCGAGGGGGGCTTTTTCAGCATAAAAAAGTTTATAAACTTGGCTTATACTTGAGTATATACGGTATATATATTTAAACAAAAAGCCAACAATGCTGAATTCAGTCTCAAACTAATTATTTCTTTGTTTCCTTTTAAAATAGGTATGTTTAGATTTCGTAAATAACATGGGGCGGGGGAGGATGTGCTCTATTATTATTTAGAAAACTTAAATGGTTTAGAAACAAAATGTTATGTTTTTAGTTTTGGAAAACAATTGGACTATTTGCGAAGCATTATTCATTACTGGAAAATAGCAGCTAAATTTAAGTGGTGCTATTGATTCAAAGCTATTGTAAGTGTGCCTTGAAATTATATTCATGCTGTGATGTTTGTTCCTATCAGAGTTTTGTTCTTCATCGCCTCTCCCGTTTTGCAAAATGACCTGTAATATTCACAGTCAGTGCTTCATCCCTCTAGAAAAAGAGAAAATATTAATAAGCCAGCAAACCCTCCAGGCATCTATTCAAACAATGCTTCTTTTTCTGAATTTTCACCTTGAGTTACTTTCAGATTGTGTTGTTTTACCTATACTCAGTTGTAAGTCGCACTGCCTGAGTGGTTTTTAGCATTTTTGAATACAAGGACTGTGTGAGAAGGCAATCATCATCCAATCCAGAAAAACATCACCACCAAGAAAAACAAAATAAGTTAGATGTGTAGTCAAGCTGTATGGATGGCCAACTCAGCAAATGAAAACAAAATGGAATCATACAAGAGTAGTAAATGGGAATAATTTTGAATATAAACATAAGGAGTCATTTGAAATATGTCAAAATAAAATTTATTTTGTTGTTTTTTATGGTAGGTATCTATGCCATTACCACAAGCTGGCTCTGAATCTCCTTTTAAATTCAAGACCAATTTGCCATGTGTCAGTATTGGGTCAGAGTTAGTTTTTGAGAATTTAAGAAAATACCTAATAAACTGGATCAAAGCTCCCCCTAATCCAGGGGTGTCAAACTCATTTTCACTGAGGAAAAACTTATGGTTCCCTTCAAAGGGCCATTTGTAATTGTTAGACTGTATAAATGTAACTATGTTGCCCTAGCATTGAAATCTTCATGAGCTACATAAAATGACATGGCGCTGTGAATTTGGCCCATAGACCTTGCATTTGAAATGTGTGTTCATGGTATTGTCGTGTTGTTCTAGTACATCAGGAAACCCATTTTTCAGCCTAGGAATTGTTAATTGTGAATGTTCCTTCCATCCTTGCATTGGACAATTTATAGATCTCTTTGAGTATGCCTAGTGCTTTGAGATCAAGCCTCCAGCTTATATAGTTCTTTGAGTTCTCATGACTCTTATACATTGCACACCAAAGGCTGCATGGTTTAGTCAGACTAGCTGACAAGTATGTATTCTCTGAGAAAAGTGTAGGAAGGTTCATGCAAGTACGCCAAAGGAAATCTCAGTGTTGACTTGTTGTAGGTTTTTTGGGCTATATGGCCATGTTCTAGAAGCATTCTCTCCTGATGCTTCACCTGCATCTATGGCAAGCATCCTCAGAGGTTTTGAAGTCTCAGACCTCACAACCTCTGAGGATGCTTGCCATAGGTGCAGGCAAAACCTCAGGAGAGAATGCTTCTAGAACATGGCCATATAGCCCGAAAAACCTACAACTACCCAGTGATTTCAGCCATGAAAGCCTTTGACAATACAATATCAGTGTTGTTGAGAATCAGTTAATTGCTTAATGTTAAAATCAAGCTAATCTTCCTCAAATTCAAATGAACTAGATTTTTTAAAAATGATTGTTGGGCTCAGGCATAGAGAGGCCATAGGTTGGAGGAGTCTCTAAAGCTGCCTCCATGGAGTTGGGAAGTGGCAGAGAGGCGGACAGAGGGCAAGAACGACTCTTTTCTTCTCCTTCTGACCATGCCTTCTTCCTTCCCCCTTCCCCTCTTTGTTTCATTCAGTTTTCAAGGCACATTTGATTTCTGGGTATATAGCTATGAATGGATCTGTTGAGAGACTTGAACCTCAGTCCTAATCTCTATTTAGAATGTCAGTTTCAATGGAACCACTCAAATGCATTGAGGACTGTGTTGCCGGCAACATAAACTGCCTGAAGTCATTGGGCCACAAGTATTACTGGTTTTAATAGAATTTTAATATGTGTACCTATTGTAGGGCCCCGGGTGGCACAGCAGGTTAAACCATTGAGCTACTGAACTTGCTGACTGAAATGTTGGCGGTTCAGATCCAGGGAGCGGGGTGAGCTCCTGTTGTTAGGCCCAGCTTCTGTCAACCTAACAGTTTGAAAACATGCAATTGTGAGTAGATCAATAGGTACCGTTCTGGCGGAAAGGTAATGGTGCTCCATGCAGTCATTCTGGCCACATGACCTTGGAAGTCTCAAACTAGTTATTTCTAGGCTCTTCAGCTTAGAAATGGAGATGAGCACCACCCCCCAGAGTCGGACACAACTAGACTTAATGCCAGAGGAAATCTTTACCTTTACCTTTTACCTGTCTGTAGGGTTTTAGCTTTAACAACTACTTCTTTGTTCTTGCGGTCATCTTTAGAGGTGCTACTGAGCAAACTGGTGGCTAAGAAGTTAGTTATGTCATAACCCACTGAAGATACCTCCTCCCCATGATGAGTTCTTTAGAAAAAAATTATTTATTTATTTATTTGACTCGTATACCGCTACTCCCAGTTTGGCTCGGAGCGGTTTACAGAAACAAATTAAAACAATACAATTAGCTTTAAAAATAACCATAACAATAGCAATAGGCAGCGAGAACAGGCATAGCCTGGGTTGTTCATGAACACAATGTGTAGTTCACCTTGCTTTGTAGCTGTTTTCTATGTAAATTCTTCTTCACACAATTTGAGAAATTAGTGGTGCCAGATAATTAACATATAGTTTACAACTTGCAGAACACAGCATGTAGATTTTTCCTAAATCTGCCAAAAGGTATCAAAAGTAGAGTTTGGTCTATTTTTCACTGTGTTTATGTCTTTGTGAAGCAAAGGAGCAATTTTATTTATCTATATTAAACCTATAATGTATATGCAAACACAGTTCTCAACCATTTATCTCATAATTGCGATCTGTTTCATAACCAAGAAGAATTTGCTGTGATACATATAACCTTAGCACATGAGTGTATAACATGCCACAGAATGCATATGTACTTTTCCATCTTTAATTTAGTTCATCATAATCCTTCTGTCTGGGATATTTTACTCTCAAATGCTGATTGAGATATTGTGTATTTTTGTTTCCCTCAGCAACCAGCAGAAATTGTGGAGGAGGAAGAAAATATAGCCCTGGACCGTCATGCTCAGCAATATTCAGCCATCAATGGAGAAGCTAATCCAGGTGAAGCAACTGAAGAAGCCATGAATGGCATCGAAGAAGACAAACAGAATAGCCGTTATAAAGATGCACAGCAATGGCGGGAGCTTGACAATGGAGTAGTAGATGAGCCCATTCCTCATAAATATCCTGAAACAAATGAAGAAAATGGTGAGGAAATGGGTCACAGTTATCATGAAGAAGAAACTAAAGAAGGTATTGATGATCAAATACAGGTAACGTGCCTTTCCTCTCTTGTTGTGCTTCCATTTGTCTGCTTTAGTTGTAGTTGCTGCGTTCAGACAACATAATCCATTGCTACAGCTTTGGATTTTTTTTTTGCTACTCTGTATTGCAGATGACATTGATGGTACTGCCATACTGCCATAAGGGAATGCAGTGTTGTGAGAATGTTTCAGTCCTTTGGTTTGCCATGCAAGAAGCACCTCTGAATGCTAACTACTTTCCCAGAGTATAATTGAAGAACTCAGTATAGCTTCTTTACAATACGACAGTTCATACATCCTAAGAGGCTGAGTTCATGATTGTTCTGACTGTGAACCCTGTAAATCAAGCACCCACAATATCACAAACATTGTATGCTGCACCATTCAAAAACCTGATTACAACTAATGCACATCTGGTGCAGTTTGACAGCTGTCATCATGGAATTTATTGCCCAGTATATCTCTGCCAGTGTACAAGACAGAGCATAGCCATTCTGAAGGGAGGCGAAGAAAAAAAAGGGTTTGGTGGGCTTTTTTTCCAGGACTGGTATCATCACTTATTTATAGAAATGCTCTTGGCAGCAAGTGGGTGGGATGAGATCAGTCCTTGGGGCTGAACATTGCCCAGTCTGCTACAAAAAGAGCTAAAGCACTCAATACAGAAACTTTCTCTTGGGTAAAAAAGGTTAATGCAAGAATGGGAGTAATTGGGTTTTTTTGTCATCGTGTTGATAATTTTTTTAATTTTTTTCATTTTTACTTTATTTTTTATTAATTATTTGACACAAACAATCTCATATATAATCAGAAAATATACATTCAAAAATAATGAAATGTGTCTAGATCTGTATGTAGATGGCAACTTGTACAAAATAAGTATAACATACTTTACCATTCACTCGAGTTTAAGACATTTTCAAAGAAAAATCCATGCAAACTATTCCTAACTAGAACTGTTTCCATCTAGATAACAGCAACAGTGCCATCAATAGTGTTGATAATTTTATATACAAACTGTCCCTCTTTTATTTCTGCACTTTAATGGGTGTCTCCATTTGTTTGTGGAAACTAACTAGGAGTGCTGTTGTCTTCACTCTTTGTTCTTTATGATGTTTTCACAGATAGTAGAAAGCTTTGTTAATTGCCCAAGTGGAAGGTGATATAATTGTTTTGTTTACAGGAGTTTATATTTAGTTGATCACAGTTCACAATTCATCTGTCAGATGTGGGGGCTTATTTCTGGTTGCTTTGTGTCTGGAATGGCAAAAGCAGAAGGATTGCCAAGTATCTCCTATGGCTAGCGAGCAGAATCTGACTGGACTCAGGTTAATCAGATTTACAATAGTCATATGTACATTTGGGAGCCCCTGATGGTACAGTGGGTTAAACCCCTGTACCAACAGGATTGAAGAGCGACAGGTCGGAGGTTTGAATCGAGGGACAGCATGGATGAGCTCCTTCTATCAGCTCCAGCTCCCCATGAGGGGACATGAGAGAAGCCTCCCATAAGGATTTTTTTTCCTGTCAGAAGTGACTTCAGGAACTGCAAGTCGCTTCTGGTATGAAAGAATTGGCTGTCTGCAAGGACGTTGCCCAGCGGACACCCGGATGTTTTGATGTTTTACCATCCTTATGGGAGGCTTCTCTCATGTCCCTGAATGGGCAGCTGGAGCTGACAGAGGGAGCTCATCTACACTCTCCCTGGATTCGAATTTACGACCTGTCGGTCTTCAGTTCTGCCGGCACAAGGGTTTAACCCGCTGTGCCACTGGAGGCTCCTCCCACAAGGATGGTAAAACATCAAAACATCAGGGAGTTTCCTGGGCAACATCCTTGCAGATGGCCAATTCTCTCACACCAGAAGCGACTTGCAGTTTCTCACGTTGCTCCTGACATGACAAATATATACATAGCATACATACCCACCTAAGAAAGATTCCTATCAAATAACAAATCATAACATCTTTCTTTGTCTATTTCTAGGCTGATTCCAATTATGAACAAACCTCTGCTCCAAGAGTCACGATCACCAGTCCACAGGAAAGTGAAAAAAATGAACAAAGCAACGAGTATGCAGCAGTAGCATAGACGTATTTCAAAGGACATAGCTGAACAAAAATGAAGGATTTTATATTTTGAATGCAGAGCATCTTTGCTTGGTTAATTTATAATGCAACAATATGATGGAGTTCCACCCATTGATCCCTGATGTGATAATGTGATAACCAGTAAATAGATAATTAAACAAAAGAAGAAGAAATAATTAGAGTCTTGAGGGTTGGCTTTCCTCCTATGTGAATGTTAAAGGGAAGCCAGGGTGTTACTTTTAATACATGTTATCATTACAGGATGCTTTTTGTTGAACTAGCCCCTATATGTTCACAAAAGAGTCCGCTAGACTAAAAGTACTTGGTTTAGAAGAGTTAAATAATATTTTTGCAACTTTGAAATAAAAAAAACTTGTAATATTTTTAAAGCTGAATAAATCTGTATGTGTATGAGCATTGCAGTGGTGTATTTCCATAATCTAACTTGGACTAGCATCCAGATTCCCACTTTGTGATGTGGAGGGTGGGTCTAGGAAATCTCAACAATGGAGAATCAAGATTAATTAATTCCGAGCCCTGGAGACCATTGATATGCACATAGTACTCTTGCATACATGGGCCATTACACTTGTTTCAAAGAATGCCAATGTGGATCAGCTGTTGAAAGGCACAGAGGAACCCTTGGAGGTGGATGAAAAGATGATCTGATTAGCACTCCCATATTAGGATGTCATTGTTGGATTGAAGTACTAGAATGTGCCCACAAGAGGAAGGAGTCCCCTACATTCATTAATACTTTAAATAACACAAAGAGGCTCATTACAGACACTTTCCTCAACCCAATGCCCACCTGATGTTTAGGACAGCAGCTCACACCAACCCCATGCAGATTGGCAGATGACAAAGAATTATGGGAATTGGATGTCAGACTGCACCTCACTATTAGTATACATTAACCACTCCATCCTATATGGCTCTTTGTGCAAATAAATTCTATTGCCTTTGATTAATCTTTCATGTACTTACAATCAATCAAAACAGTTTATTGTATGGGCCCAAGGCCATGACAAAAAGCACCACATGCACACAATAGTACCCTCAAAGCAACAGGCACCAAAACTGCTAAATAGAAACCATAATAATGCTCTCACAAAGAACAAAAACAATGCAAGTTAACCATAATTAAAGTACATTTTAAGAGGGGGTTCAGTTAACCCTTAGAGTCTCCTTGGCAATGCACTTATGATCTGACTGAAATTGTCCATAGTACTATTTTGCTGCGGTTCCCATAGAGGTAAGAGCCGATGTTGATGCTGATTATATTTATTTGTACCTCACCTTTCTCTGTGGACTGAACCTAATACTGTGTCTGTTGAGATGGCCATAGGAGGCAAACTGAAAAATCAAGGCAAAAAAATCTTTTATCTTTGAAGCCAAAAAACTTTGTTTAATTTCAAGTTTCTGTTTCTGTTCTTATCGACTTAAAATTTCAGCCCATGAGAAACAGGAATAGTGACATATGTATCGGATGTAAGTAAATTGGCAAACTGACTGGTGTGAAGTTTGAGATAACAAACTCTAGAAAAAGACTTGGCCTATGGTTGTTATGGGAAGAAGCACTCTTCCTGCCTTTTTAGTTTGCTATATCCCTAATTTTAACTAGGCTTTGAAAAAAGGATAGGCTTTGTTTTGTATCTTCCTTTTGATTTGTGGCTGTTGTAAGATCATCAGACATTTTGAACATGTTTTTGGAGTCACAGTCCTAATTTAAATGTAGTTCTGCACTTTGGCCCGAAAATATCCCAGTGTACGAAACATACGCTAGTGTATTCTGTGTTTGGGTCTTTAAATATATTACTAAACTGGGAAATGATTATTCTATGACATTGCCGCTAGAATGCAACTTTTATAGTTTCTAGGCAACTGACAAGGACCTGATAATTTTCCAAGGACATTTTGTTATATCACAGTATTGGCAAGACAAACATATCACCTGTAACACTATTAATTGCTTCATCAATGGTACAGTGAGTCTGATCTTGCCAGCATATTTCTCTGAACTAAAGAGTGATTCCTTTTATCTTACTGTCATTAAATATTGTTGTGTGGCCTTTGGACATGTAGTGCCTTTACCACTTTGCAGTAAAAAAGCATTTTTTTTCTCCGAGCTCATGTTCATCACACAATTATTACGTCGTCAGGTTATGATGGCAAGTATGAAATCTTATAATGACTTTAAACTCATAACATATTACCTACTTATCTTTCGAAAACAAACAAAGTAACCGCAAAGGAAATACAATCACACAACCCAAAATGTTTTGATCTAAGTCTTTTTGAGTGGTGGGAGCAAGAGTTTTCTAGGAATAAACAACAAAAATGACAAAAATAAAATGTCGGCGGGTATACATGCATGTCCCAACATGAAAAGGGCCAAAGCCTCACTCAGCTTTCAAATCTGAAGCCAAAAAGTGGAAGGAAGTTGCCAAAATGGGGCCTAATTCTTTTAGCCTCTGATTTTCTTCAAAAACATATCCCAGAGTTTACCACGCAAAATGGCAACTATGCTTCAAAGAAATACGTTTTTCAAATCTGGGTTCTTCTTTCCCCCTTTCTTCTCCTTCATGGGCTTACTATAACTCAACAGGTGACTTGAAGGCTCCTATATACACAAGTCTGCATACTGATCTGAGATCTCCTGTGATCATATTATGGCTGCCCTCTACATACACATAGCCCACCCCCCCCCCCCCCCCCCCGTGGCACAGCGGGTTAAATCGCTGATCTGCTGAACTTGCAGACCAAAAGGTTGGTGGTTCGAATCCGGGGAGCGGGGTGAGCTTCCGCTGTTAGGCCCAGCATCTGCCAACCTAGTAGTTCAAAAATGCAAATGTGAGTAGATCAATAGGTATCACTTCTGCGGGAAGGTAACAGCACTCCATGCAGTCATGCTGGCCACATGACCTTGGAGGTGTCTACTGACAACACTGCCTCTTTGGCTTAGAAATGGAGATGAACACCACCCCCCCCCCAGAGTTGGACACGACTAGACTTAATGTCAGGGGAAATCTTTACCTTTACCTACGTATACATATGATAGTTGAGGAAGAATTCTTTTCTGTGTCTGTGTGGATTCCCTCATTTTGCTCTCTTCATAGACCCCTGCTTGGCATATTCATAATCATTAATCAAATTTTAGCAGCACTAATTATGCTTTCTAAGCAGATGATCTTACTGTTGTTTTCCAGAAGTCTTACAGATTTAAAATCAAACAAATAAACAAACAAGGAAACAAACAACACGCATGACGGGGGAAGAAGAGTGGAAATTGCAATAGTGCAGAAGACACTCTCTGAGGCTCCCTCCAAAGCCACAAGGGAGAATCTTCTGTCACATAGCAGAAGACGTGTGTTCCCCAGCCTTGCAATGTGTGACTCACTGCTTATGCTATCAGAATGCTTAGAAGGAAAAAGAAAAAGGAAAGCAGCAGCACTGGGGTCATGGCAGCCCACAGAGAACAACCAGATGGCTGGCATGCAAGGGCTGTGCAAATCAGAAGGGAAGCAGCAGACACAAACATCCTGAGAGCATGTGTTCATCAATGTGAACAAGATAAAAGGCAATGATTGCCCATCATGCTATGCCAAATTTGATCTCAGCACAAATTGCATGAGTTATTACTCTTCTGTTCAATGAGTTCGGGAGGTATATAGTTCAGAAGCAAAAGGAAAAAGGTTCTGAATCTGCATAAGAAATTGATATTTGATAGTTAGCAGACGTAGCAAAGGACAGAAAGAGCTAAGAGCCTCCCCTTCCCCGTTCAGCAGAGGTGACACTTATGTAATTACTTCAGGGAAAAAGAGGGAAGGGAGAGGATGGTTACTGGAAAAAGCTTGCATTATGGCACACATATAAAAGGCGGACTGCTTCTGGTATGTCTCAGGACACAATTCTCCCCTTGTAAGCTCAGACCCAAGATTATTTCTTACACTGGATGCAGTTACACTGTGTATTTAATGCAGTTTGATGTCAGATACCATTAGTCCCCTCCAGAAACTTAAGTGGTCTCAGGATGCATCTATACAGTAGAATTAATGCAGTTAAGTACCCCTTTAACTGCAATGGCCAGTTCTATAGAATAATGGGAGTTATAGTTTTGCAAGATATTTAGTGTTTGACAAAATGTGCTAGTGCCTCATCAAATTCCAGTTTCCAGGATTCTATAGCATGGGATCAGTGATTACTTGTAAACTGGCTCCTAGGGACACTTTAGGATAGTATGTTAGGAAGACAACAAAACATTTTTCCTCTGGAACAGTAAGATGGAAATGATTCCTTAGGGCAAAAACTATTCCCTATGAAAAAACCAGCTTCAGCTCAATTTTATTTGCTTCATATTTAAGAATGGTTGAAACACAACAGATAACAATATGACTTATAGTGTGTACCCTTGAACAATATGCTATCCAACAAGTTGAAAGACAGGCACTCATGATAGTCACCATAACCTACTTCCAAGGAAGACACAAATACACCAACCATCCAATCCATAAAACCAGACCTACCAGAATACTTTTATGTTGGACTTATATAATTAAGGAGTCTTAATTGGCCATTTATGATAAAGCCATCCCAAAATATTTTGGATTCCAACAAGGAAGATCAAAGCAATATTCTGAATCCTTTCCCCCGCAAATTCTTCCTTCTTCCCTATGCAGGCAACCCCCGAGTTACAAACATCTGACTTACAAATGACCTATAGTTAAGAATGGAGGTGAGACAACAAGAAGTGAGAGGATTCTACCCCTCAGAAGGGAAATTGATTCCTGAAAGAGTTATTGTATCATGGGGAAAAGGGGTCTCCATTGAAGATTTATCAACAATCCTTGTTTCCACAACAAGCCACATTTTCCAAAATCCAATTCTCACAGGGACAGAAAGTGAGGTGAAATCTTCTGAACAGGGACACAGACAGCAAAACAAACACCACCACCACAGACAGCAAAACAAATGCTTCCCTATGCTATCCAAAACCATATATATATTTGGCTGGAGTTACACTTTTAAATGTACCTGTTCTGACTTACATCCACATTAAGTGTAAGACAAACCTGTAGAACCTATCTTGTTCATAACTTGAGGTCTGCCTGTAGTTTAGCTGCAGTGACCAAATGCCAGCCTTTCCTCAAAAATGAGCCGTGCCTTCCAAAGGTAGTCAGGACTACTTTTATGTATAGTTGCTATATCAGAGCTTGGAAAAGTTGCTTGCTTGAACTACAACTCCCAAAACCTCCAGCCAGCACAACCAGTGGGGAAAGTGGTCCAAAAATTAACTATTTCAAGTGTGGTACCGAGTGTTCAACTTATATCCCCATACCAAAAATCAACTTATATCCCCATACCAAAAAAGGGAAATGCGAAAGATTGCTCAAACTTCCGTACAGTGGCCCTTA